AGGAGGAGGAGGAGGAGGAGGAGGAGGAGGAGGAGGAGGAGGAGGAGGGAGGGAGGGAGAGAGGGAGGCTGTATTGCAGGTGTGTCAGCTAAGCTGCCAAAGCCTGATTTGTGGAAATCTCCCCTAAGGCTGCTCCCTTAGGGAAGAAGGATCCCTGGGGCTCAGGCAGGGCCAGAAGGCTGATCATGGAGACAAAGTCAGACAGTCTGTATTTGTTTGTTCCTTTCTCTTTCCTTTGTTTGCTTTTACAAAAAGGCCCAGCTTACACTAGGATGTGACAGGGATTTTGGTTTTTGAGTCAGGGGCTCACCTTTCAAAGTCACCAGGTAACCAAGATGATCTTGGATTCCCAATCTTCCTGCCCCTACTTCCCAAGTGGTGGGAGTATGTGGTGCTAGCGGTGAAACCCAGGACTTTGAGCACGCTAGGCAAATACTCTACCAACTGAGCCACAACACCCAGCCCTTCTCAGTGAGGCTTTTTATTTGTTTGGTTGGTTAGTCTGTTAGTTTTTGCCTCTACCTGTAGCTAGCACTTAAAAGGACCCAGAGAGATGGGCAGGGGGGTCCCAGTTATGTGCCAGCAACTGCCTTGGTGCCACAGTTTAACCCCTCAGAGAGTCTCAAAAGTATGAGAGAGATGGCTCAGCAGTTAAGAGCACTGGCTGCTCTTCCAGAGGTCCTGAGTTCCATTGGTGGCTTACAAGGATCTATCAGGAGATCTGACGCCCTCTTCTGGCCTGCAGATGTAGATGCAGCAGAGCGCTCATAAATTAAGAACAAAAATATGATTTGGGTTGGATGCAGTGGCACATATTTTGGGAAGCTGAGGCAGGATGATCACTGCAAGATGGAGGCCAGCTTAGGCTGTATGGCGAGTTCTGGGGCAGCCTGGGCTACATGATACCTTTCTGTGTGTATGTATGGTACACACATATGCATGAGTGCACTTGTGCGTGTGCATCCTGCTGTCTCTTCAGCTTATATAAAACACTTTTAGAAACCAGAAAACCAGAAAGTTCTCACTGACAGGCTACATTACTTCACAGACAATCACTTTTTTTTTTTAAGAGAACAGGGTCTTAGGGCAGGAGAAGACGGCTCAGTGGCTGAGAGTACTGCCAGCTCTTCCAGAGGACTCAGGTTCAACTCCCAGCACCTACATGGCAGCTGACCACTGTCCATGACTCAGTTTTAAGTGATCTGATGCCCTCTTTTGGCTTCTGTAGGCACCAAGTACACATGTGCTATAAGACATACATGCAGGCAAAAAAAAAAAAAAAAAAAAAAAAAAACAGGGTCTCCCTGGCTGTTCTAGAACTCACTATATAGAACAGGCTGGCTTTGAACTCAAAAATCCGCCTGCCTCTGCCTCCCAAGTGCTGGGATTAAAGGTGTGCGCCACCACCGCCAGGCTTTTGACTTTTATTATAATAAAAAAAATTTGTTTGTACTAGAAGTTCATATAAATGGGATCAAACAATAATGTATTATCATCGCCGCTGATTTTTTGAGACAGGGTCTCACTGTGTGGCTCTGTCTGGCTCGGAACTCCCTATGTCTACCAGACTGGCTTCAAACTCATAGAGATCCATTCCTCCTCTGCCTCCTGAACACTGGGATCAAAGGCCTGCACCACCACACCTGGCTGGCTTTTTTTTTTTTTTTTTTTTTTTTTTTTTTGTCTGGCCTCTTCTGCACACATTGTTCCTGAGAGGAATCCATATTGTTGCCCGCTGGTAGGCCATTCATTTTTATTACTATAGTATTCCCCTATGTGGACACAGCACAGAGTGTCTAGGTCTAGTCCCCTGTTGATGGACATTTAGGTTTGGGATTATGAACAATAATGTGTGACTACATGTCTGGAAGTCTTTTTTGTTTGTTTTGTTTTGTTTTTTGAGACAGGGTTTCTCTGTGTAGTCCTGGCTGTCCTGGAACTCACTCTATAGACCAGGCTGGCCTTGAACTCAGAAATCCGATTGCCTCTTCCTCCCAAGTGCTGGGATTAAAGGCGTGCACCACCACTGCCCAGCATGTCTGGAAGTCTTATGATTAGTACACATGTTCATTTGTCTTGCACAAATAGCCAAGAATGGAATTTCTGGTTCAGAGAGGAAGTATATGTATTGCTAGAAATCAGCAAATACTTTTTTTCCCAAGATGCCTGTCATGCTTTCGCCCACATGAGGGTTGTACCAGCACTCTAGTTGCTCCATATTTTGCTGACATTTGTCATCGTTGGCCTTTCATTCTAGCTTGTTGGGTGGCAAGCAATGATATTGATGCTGGCTTTGTTCTCCCCACACACCTTTTTTCCAAGGTCTCATGTATCCCAGGTTAGTACCAAAGTCCCTGTAGGGGAAGGATGACCTTAAATTCCTGATCCTCCTGCCTCCATCTTCAGAGTGCTAGGATTACAGGCGTGTGGTGTTATACCGAGCTACACACACACACACACACACACACACACACTCGAGGTATTAGTGATTGAACCCATCCCCTCATGCACAATAGGCAAGCGCCACACCACTGAGCTACACCCCAAGCTTTTTCAATCATGTAACAATGAGTTTTCAATCCATGCTACAAAGGAGCTGAAGAATCAGCCAGACTGACTTGGGAATGAAACATCTCTTAGAAACAGGGAAAGCAGAAAACCAGCAAGGATGTACCCTCAGAGATGCTGAGCGTGCCCAGGGGAGAGACAGAGAGAGGGAAGAGAAAGACCCTAGTCTGGAGTCCCAGCCACTTCCCAAGGCAGGCTAGGTAGCATGGAGGCCAGTAACAGGGAGGAAGATGAAGTTGTGGACTGACCTCAGAGAGACCTGGAGCCGATTGTCAGAAGCCTGGTGAGCAGAAAGGAAACTCAGGAAACAGCCCTAGGCCAGCAAGATGGCTCAGTGGGTATAGACATCTGCTGCTAAGCCTGACAACATGATTTGGATCCCCAGAACTTAGTGGAGGGACAGAAGCAACTCCTGAACTCTACACCCTGCTCCCCTCCCCCACTCATTCACATGCCACTCACCGCCACAGGCAGACACACACAAAATAAATAAAATATAATTAAAAATAAATAAAAGGCGGCTGTAGAGACGACTCAGCTATTGAGCTCACACACTTCTTGCATAGGACCTACATGTATTCCATACCAGCACCCACACTGGATGACTCACAGCCACCCGTGACTTCAGTTCCAAGGAATCAGACACACTCTTCTGACTTCTACAGGCTCCTGCCCACACATAGTATGTACAAACTCAAGCTGGCTCTCAGAGTGTGCATGTAAAATAAATAAATCTTAAACAATTAAATAGCCGGGCGTTGGTGGCGCACGCCTTTAATCCCAGCACTTGGGAGGCAGAGGCAGGCGGATTTCTGAGTTCGAGGCCAGCCTGGTCTACAGAGTGAGTTCCAGGACAGCCAGGGCTATACAGAGAAACCTTGTCTCAAAAAACAAAAAAAAAAAAAAAAAAAAAAAAAAAAAACACAATTAAATAAATAAAGCAGGGTAGTGGTGGCGGTAGCAGCAGCAGTGAACGTCTTTAATCTCCGGCCGGCACTTGGGAGGTGGAAGCAGATGGATCTTTTTGAGTGAGAGGCTAGCCTGGTCTACAGAGTGGGTTCCAGGACGGCCAGGGATACAGTGAAACCATGTCTCAAAAAAAAAAGGGGGGGGGGCTGGAGAGATGGCTCAGCAGTTAAGAACACTGACTGCTCTTCCAGAGGTCCTGAGTTCAAATCCCAGCAACCACATGGTGGCTCACAACCATCCATAATGAGATTCGATGCCCTCTTCTGGTATGTCTGAAGACAGCTACAGTGTACTCATAAATAAAATAAATAAATCTTTAAAAAAAAATCAGAAGAGGAGGAAAAAGAGGAGGGAGGGAGGGAAGGAGGGAGGGAGAAGGAAGGAAGGAAGGAAGGAAGGAAGGAAGGAAGGAAGGAAGGAAGGAAGGAAGGAAAGAAAGAGAAGAAAAGAATAGAGCCCTGATTTTCAGATTCTAGGGGGCCTGGGTTGATTTAGGATTTAATTTCTGACCCTTCCCCTCCTATATGATTCTTCTGTAAAGAGTGCGTGGTCTTGGAGGCTGAGGTCATAGGGCATCTAGCTTCAGCAATGTACATGGGGACACCTGCTGTCTGTCTTTTGCTCTTCCCTACTTACTCCTGAGGCTGCCTCATAGACCAGGAAGGTGTCCATTGCCCCCTGGTGGTAGCTGGGAGATAGCCACAGATGGGATGCAACTCTAGGGTCAAAGGGGATCTGGAGATCCAGCTTTTATGGAGGACATCCCCCATGTCCGGCCCCAAGATGTGAGCAGGCACAGGCACATACATGCATGCACGCACACACAGAGAACTGTTGGATGATGTGTTCACTCTCAGGCTTCCTTTCTTCCCCTGAAGAAACAACTCCTGTGTGCACCACTGCCCTTGTCATCCGGGGGTCCCCCAACTGGACATCCCCATCCTCGTGAAACCTCCTGGTACCTTGTCCACCTGGTCCATGCTTCTGTCTACACAAAAGCAATGGCAATTCTTTTGTTGCTGTTGTTTTTCGAGGCAGGGTTTGTCTGTCTAGCCTTAGTTGTCTAGCCTTGTATATTCTGGAACTCATTCTGTAAACTAGACTGGCCTCGAATTTACAGAGCAATCCCCCTGCCTCTGCCTCCTGAGTGCTGGGATCAAAGGCATGTGCCACTGCTGCTGGGCTACAATGACAACCTTTTAAACAATCGTGATTCCAGTGAATGTCCCGTATAATGTGTTAGGTGGGGGTTGGTCTGTGCTGTGAATACAAATGCTAAATTCTGAACCCCAAGATCTGATTGCCATCCAGAGAAGAATATCCTCACTACAGCGGACTTTGTTATTTAAACCTTGCTCCCCAATTTAAAGCTACTGGATAATAAAACGCTAGAGCCTGAGATTGGGCAGTGGAGAGAAAGGAGAGAGAGAGGAGGAGACCACCAGGAGAGGAGATGGACCATGAGCACATGGCCAGAGAAGTCCTCACTGAGGACAGACTGACAGACTGGAAATAACCCAGGGAGACTCAAACAGCAAATAACAAGGGGCATATGATTTGGATATGGGTGAGAACAGCACAGAATCTGCCTGATATAGGCTTACGGCTTGTAAAACGACTCCTACAAGTTGTCCTCTGACACAGACACTGATGTAATGGCATGTGCATGACCGCACAAGTATTGTACAGCTTGGCATGGTGGAACTCCTTTAGTCCCAGAACTCTGAAAGCAGAGGCAGGAAGATGTCTCTGAGCTGGAGGCATGGTGTTCAGAGCAAGTTCCAGTATCAGCCAGGACTGTTATAGAGAGAAAACAAACACACACACATAAAAACCAAAACCAAAACCAAACCAAAACAAAACAAAAAAATTGTACTAGCTATCACAGGTGAAACTTTTAAAATTTTTGATCAGGTATAGTGTCAAATGCCTTTAATCCCAGCACTTGGGAGGCAGAAGCAGGTGGATTTCTGAGTTCAAGGCCAGCCTGGTCTACAGAGTGAGTTCCAGGACAGCCAAGACTATACAGAGAAACCCTGTCTCGAAGAAAAAGAAAGAAAGAAAGAAAGAAAGAAAGAGAGAGAGAGAGAGAGAGAGAGAGAGAGAGAG